GTGATGAAATTTGTCGCAGTATTCATAATTATTCTCTTAGGATGTTTTGAATAGAAATTGATAAGTCTTCCCGACGCCATCGGTTTTTGATACCAGTCCAACTTAATCATATTCCCTCTTCTAATAATTATTGAATCCAAATATGGTAATCTGTTGTCTATTTCCTTCTCCAACGTAAATTGTATACGTCTATGAAAGGCATTTAGGGTTCTCAAAGTAATTTCCACTTGATCTTTTTTCAAAATTCCGAATAGGTCGTCCACATATTTCGTCATTAATCTTGGTTTGTTTTCCAATTGATCAAGGGTTGTTTCCAATAGTTCCTCCATGACTATATCGGCAATTATTGGGGAAATTGGGGATCCCATAGGCATGCCCTTGTTTTGTTCATAAAAGTTGTCCTTAAACTTAAAATATCTGCAATCTTTTATACAAAACGTCAATATATCCATAAATAATTCTCTAGGTATTTTCGTATGTTCTTCTAACATATGTCATTTTCTGTCTATAGTCTTGATTGCCAGGTTTATTGGAATACTGGGAAATAAAGAGACTACGTCGAATGATACCAGTATCTCATCATCCTCTATGCGTGTGTTGTCAATTCTATTCTTAAATTCCCTTGCGTCTCTTACGTTATAAATAGAATCATTTGTCAATTTTCTTAAAATGTCAATTATATATTTACTCAGATTGTATGAAGGTGAGTTGATCGATGAGCAGATAGGACGTAATGGCATATCCTTCTTATGGATCTTTGGGAGACCATATATCCTTGGGGCTATAGCAATCCTTGTTGTCAATTTGTTTTTGTCAAGTAAATTTATAACATTAAGCTTGTATAATTTTTCCACAAGGATGTTGTTCTTATTCTGAAGACTAAGTGTAGGATCTTTTTTAAGGCGTCTATATGTACACATGTCCTTGATGATATCCATCATCTTTGTATTATAATCGTCTTTAGTCATTGCCACCGTCTTATTACCCTTATCTGAGTTCAATATAATTATATCATTATTTGCCTCCAAATATTTTTCACATTGAACCACTGTATTCAATATCAGTTTATCCCTTGCGTTCATTTTCGATTTTCTCATGTGGTCATCAATTAATGTAACAAATTTTGCTCTCGATATCTCTTGCTGTTCTTTATCCTCAATCGTCTGTATGCATTGTTCGCCATCGGTGATGCATTTGAATAATGGGAATGTTTCTCTCGTATTGGGCAAAGCAAACTTGGAACCAAGTGACAGTAGCCATTGAATATTTGTTGGTATAATTTTCTCTGTTCTATTCACAAACCAATCTTTGTTATGCTTCATATCAAGTTTAGCTGTTCCATTTTCCCTTAAGGTTTCAAACTTTTCAATAAGTCTCTTGTCATTATTGTTCTTAACGTTATTATAAATTGTCTCTTCACTTAACATAAATGTGGACGACCTATTCGGAATTTTGAAAAAAGATCAAGTGGAAATTACTTTGAGAACCCTAAATGCCTTTCATAGACGTATACAATTTACGTTGGAGAAGGAAATAGACAACAGATTACCATATTTGGATTCAATAATTATTAGAAGAGGGAATATGATTAAGTTGGACTGGTATCAAAAACCGATGGCGTCGGGAAGACTTATCAATTTCTATTCAAAACATCCTAAGAGAATAATTATGAATACTGCGACAAATTTCATCACAAGAGTATTGGACACCAGCAACACGGAATTTCATAAGAATAACCTTAGTAAAATTAAGAATATTTTACTCAAAAACGACTTCCCATACAAGACGATAAACCATTTGATAGACAACGTTTTAAATAAGGAGAATAGGGAAAAGAGCGAACCATCGAGGAAAATATACCAATCAGTGGAATATATCTCAGGACTATCCGAGAGAATAAAACATTCGGACATATATGACAAAGAAAAATATACACTGGCAATGAAGACGAATAATACAACATATAAATTATTTAATAACATGAAGTCCAAATTAGATAAACTAGATAAATCCAATCTAGTGTATGAAATTAAATGTAATGGTGACGAAACCAACATATGCCAAAAGGTATATGTTGGTACAACGAAAACAAAACTGAGGACAAGATTATCATCGCACAAATCAGATTTAAGAACACTTGACAAACCATTAAATCAAAAAACAGCCCTCGCTGCCCACTGTGCAATAACTGGACACCAACCAGACTTTGAAAAAGTGAGAATATTAGCTGGAGAGAACAATCACACAAAACGTTACTTACAAGAGATGCTCCACATTATAAATACACCAACAGAAAAGAGAATAAATTACAAAACAGATACTGACAACTGCGCTCACATTTATCGACATACAATAAATAAATACAGAAACAATAAACAAAAGAATAAAATCAAAACAGTCAGTCATAGAAGATCAAAACATAAACAACAGACGACACTGCATTAAAATTAAATGTAAGGAAATTATTTGTTATTGTTTATATTATATTTGTTTTGTTATTATTTGTTATTGTACTTTATGTATTATTTGTAGAACTTTCCCTGAAGATGACCAACGAAGTTGGTCGAAATATTGGAAACCACAATAAATATTAATTAAACTAAGAACAAAAAAGAGTTTTTAATTTTTAATATTTATTTAATGAAAAGACCTCAAGCCGAACAAACCCAACATTTCAAGAAATTTAAACTTGAAACCAAATCCTAACCTGACATTTTTTTCTTCTTTCAATTTTTTCCGCCCAATCCCAGTCAATACTCAATATGACTAAAACATACAAAGGGTTGCCATTTAATTAACGTGCATTTAGCTAAGATGTAAAAAAAATAAATTTCTTAGGTCTAGCAAGAAAAAACTGTAATGAAAGTGTAGACTTAAAAACAGCTAAGGAACATAAGTAAAGAAAAAAGTGCGGCAAGAAATCCATATATTACACCACAATGCCAAACACAGAGTATCTTGCAAGTGAACAAAAAATGTTTGTGTGTAGAAAAGATACTTATACTTGCGAGACTACAAAATTCCTTACCGAAGCCTTACGTGACTTGTGACTTGACACAAGCTCATTCTCCTTTTACACCAGCCAACCAACCTACTCATACAGACTTATAGACAGACACAATTACCTGGCAAACAATCTGTAAAGTATCCTATAACACCATTAAATCTTTCTGTTCTTTAGCTTTGGAGAAATGAAAAAGGGTTGTTTTTCTTTATATTAAGGTTGGAAGCAGAAATGTCCAGACTTGATCGCAGAGATCGCAAATTTTTGACAGATGTGTGTCCTATAAAGATACTATCTCGAGATTTTTTTAAATGTCAAAAAGAAACGAGCAGTAAAACTATTCAATTAGAACAAGAAAGATCTCGAGTCAATATTTACTGATCTGAGGCCGATCAATTAACAGTCCAGCACCCAATTCTGTCTTCACTTTTTGCAACCGATCTCTTTAATGATTAAACTACACTATAGACTAGACTATAGACTAGACTATAGACTAGACTATAGACTTCACTATAGACTAGACTATAGACTTCACTATAGACTAGACTATAGACTAGACTATAGACTAGACTATAGACTAGACTATAGACTAGACTATAGAATAGACTATAGACTAGACTATAGACTAGACTATAGACTAGACTATAGACTAGACTATAGACTAGACTATAGACTAAACTATAGACTAGACTAAAGACTATACTAAATAAAAAAAAAAATAAATCACATGTACTTTTTTCAATTATTTCATAACTGGAGTAGGGTATCCTATGCTCGGCCATTACCAATCTCTTACTTGTTTTATTTTTTGACCAAACAACACCTTCGGTGATTTAACAGCAAAGCTATGTAAAATACTCGTGAATACAAACTACTATTAACTATAAAACTATTTTCGCAAAAACTATAAATTTCGACAAACAAATGTTCTTAATATATCATTAAATTCAACTAAAATACTTGACAAAATTATTAATTTCCTTTTTAGCCCCCTTTTCACTATCCTCAAACAACTGAACTTGTTGCCTCAAACCGCTTCCATTCCGTTCAAACATTTATGCTTATACTTTAAAATATTCTTTATAGTTTTTCTTTAAATTCATTCATCATAAATTCTAATTACAATTGCCTCATCTGCACCTGTTAACTATACCCGAAGCTTAGAATCCAAGCCTACACTCTCTCTTTTACTACTTTTAACACACACACAATATTTATTGAAATTTAAAATTTGTTTTTTTAAATTAATGGTTTTACATCACACCATCATCATGCAGTCATTCATTTATTGGTTGGTGTCTGTTTGTACTTTTTCGGAACCTGAGGTTAGTTAGACCTGTTCTTAATGCATTTTTTATAGTTTATTTTTAAATTTTTTTCACATTACATTTATTTTGCTGCTTTGAATTCATATTTTAAAGTGCTATAAGCTTGTAATATTATTATTGAAATTTTTTTTTAGGACAAGAAAATATGAAAAATTATTTTTCGAGCAAAAAGTGAAAAATCAAGTTAAAAATCAAACAGAAAAAAATTAATTTCAAGTGACAACAACGTCTACAACCAAAAAAAAAAAAAAAAACATGATGCAAGTAGAAAAAAAATCAACTAAACATGCAACAATACTTTTTAAAGCTCTATGGTAAAATGTTTGAAGCAACAACAAGGAGATGAAAAAAAATAATCATTAAAACAGGTAAAATTACAAACAAAAAAGTAGTTGGAAATAGTGTTTCCAAAATGATTAAAACCGACTTAAACATTATTGATCGTTTAACCATGACTAGATTCAGAGAAGCATAAAAAATATCACAGCTGAGAACTGATCTCATGAGTACGAATCCAGTATTAACAGACGAAAAATAAAAGAACGTTAACCAAATAGTAAAATTTTGTTTCGCTTGGCAATGGTGTAATTGTCAATTTGAACGTTACGTATACCCAATCCTTCCTCACCATTTCCTTTCCCACTCCCCTCATTATCAAAGTTGGTAAT